TAATTCTATTGTTTCGTTGCACGTTGTACGCTGACAAAGTACCAATTTTTTTCATGAAATTTGGCATAAATGTAGTTTTCGAAGAAATATTTTATCGCCAGTCGATGCTGAAGGGGTGCAAACCACAAAGTTGGCAGTTTAACATACATATTTTATCAAATAGATCTCGAAAATCACCAGGACATACAATTTTTGCGTGAACCGATGAAATTAGCGTTTTTCAACGACGAATTTCACTGTAAGAAGAATTACAGGTGTTATTTCCGAAAACTTGAATTTAGAGGGTAACTCCGGAGCTTAATCGTTTCCAACGCGACCGGAGCTTTATCTCGAGCGTGACGAACTCTTGCCCTCGTTAGAAATTCCCTTTGCAAGCTTGCCTGCGAGCGAACAATGGCCGGGGCGTTTCCGATTCGAAAGTGATAACGGATAGCGGGAAGAAACGCTGTTTCCTTCAACGAGAGGACGTTTAAAAAGCGTCGTATACGTGAAAATCGGTGACAAACTGGTGACAATCCGGCTGCGTAATACACGTTCGTATTAAAGCGAAATTAAAGAGTCGAGACTCACTCTTGAGCTCCTTGGCGTCGGGCGTGCAACTTCCGACATCCAACAGGCAGTTTATGTAGTTGTTGAGCAGACGGTCGCTGTTCAGGATCGAATCCAAGTCGATGTTGTCGTATTTGGTCGTGTACTTCTCGTCAGCCAGCGCGCAGACCAACATGGCGAGGAAAACAATCGCGACCTAGATACGGGAAGCCCGAACAGAAAAGCGGAAGTCCTTTATAAAGTGGCATTCCACCGAGATAAAGCGAGTGAACGCCACGAACACCAAACCAGACCCTTCACCAAACCCGTCCCCTCCAGTCCTTTTTCTCAATTATTTTTCCACTCTCCCGTGGCCAAAGCCGAACCGGCTAATAACGAAACACTGCACCGCCTTTGAGAAACCGTTGTCGCGCCACGCGCAGCATTACCATGGGCAATCTCAACAGCATCACACGTGCACTCTCCGTGAGTTTTCGCAAGAGTTGCACTTTGCCAAGAATCCGCGACCAAGATACGATTCAACACCGCGTGCCCAACTCTGATACGATTCTCAACCGCGTTACGGGGATTTCGAGAACTTTTTCGCGTTTACCCGCCCGCTGAAAAGCTGGAGCAACGCGTCGAAACAGACCGCGCGATTCCGCGGATCTAATGGCTTTTGAATGGCGACGGCCATTTGAACTTTGATCGGGAGAAACTTGTTGCGATTAAAAGCGATCGTTTCATCCGTGCGCGATTCTTGCAACTTTGCCTCGTAAGTTCTAACTTGAACGGTGAAACGGTGGTTTCATGGGGAATCTGGAGAGAATCCATGTGGTACAATCATGCAGTAGGAAGGCATCCAGTGATTTCAAGGAAAAGCAAGGCAAATTCGTCGAAGTGGAAACTGCGTTTAGTTAACACTAAAGATCCGTTCACATTTGTTACGCCACCAGTAAGAAATATCACACTATTTCAATGTAAATCTCGGGACCGAGTAGATAGTAATTCAGTGCATCGGAAGAACATGAACAAGCGGGATGATTCGTACAGAAAAAAAAGAAAAAGATAAGAAAAGAACGAGAGAAGATAGAATAAAATTTTTCGAAGGCAAAATCGAGTTTGCAAATTTATCGAGCATACTGGAATTTGATTAATAACAGAAAATTCGTCTACGTGCAGAAATAAGTCAAAATTGTAGAAATAAAATTCGTTCATTTAAAGCTTGATTTCCAAAAATAGATTTTGAATATGTTTCTTTGAATATTACCTTGGCACGCGTGTATCTAATAAATATTTAAGAAAATTTTATTCTACACTGTTTCTTTATTTTTGCTCGTAGAATAATCTAAAAGTAAGTTAATCACTCTTGTCTGTATAATGTTAATTAACAGAAGTTTAACACTTGAAGTTCGAAATCTTCAAACTCGATTCTCTCGAAAACGAAGCTTTAAATCAAAAAATTGTATTCCACATTCTTTTCTCATCTTTTTTTCTTTTCATTTGTGAAGAATCATCCCCTGCCCGCTTGTTCCACGATTATTCCAACGCACCCTGTATAAAAATGATCTTAAAATAAAATGAACGACTTTTACAGCAGATTAATCCAAGTAGACTTGATAAATTTTCAAACTCGATTTTCCCGAAAACAAAGGCTTCAATGAGAACACTTCATTCTTTCTTTTCAACTCAATTTCACTTGGTTGTACCATTTTTTCCTCAGAACACCCTGTACAATCGACGAATATCGGTAAAGTGACCCGCTGCGAAGGAAGTGTATTTAACGCGCTATCTGTTGAATAAATTTGAACATGTTCGCGTACCAAGGCCGAGATTCTGATTGTCATTTGCCCAACTGGAATTCGATGAACTAACGTTGAATTAGTCAGTTAGATGGGTGGATATCAGTAAACAAATTTAGAAACGGATTCTGCGTCGAACTTCGTTATCACTAAATGCATAAGTAAGTATGTAACAGTAAAGGATGGATTCCGACTCAGAAACGTCGGAACCTCGGAACTCCCCGGAAATCCAAGAAGAAAGTTCCGAGTTCCGGGAATTCGGGAAAACTTCGTACTTCTTCCGTGATTTCGAAACTCCGATGAAATCAATGTACAAAGAATCGTTTGCTACGCGAGGATAAGGAATATCTGATTATGATTGTGTTGGTTGATGATTATATTTCGAACGTTTGGTTACGGAGATGTTTTTGTTTCTGAGGATCGCAAGCAGATTTCTAACTTCCAGAGATATTCTAGATTAGATTAATCTTTATTTCTAAATATATAGTTTATTTAAAATATTATATTTTCAATATAAAGAAAATTTATTATTAATTTATATTTGAAAATTTTTAATTTCATTAATATTTCCAATATTATGCTCTCATATAAGATATTTAAATAATTTAATAAACAAATAAAATTAATATCAAATATATACATATATATTAATATCAATGAATATAATGAAATATAGACCATTAATATGAATTTTTTGTTTAATATTATTAGTAATAATATAAGATTAGAAAATGTAATTTCATTAAATATATTTTTTCATATAAAATTTCGTATTTATTTGATAAATTAAAGTAATATAAATTAATATATTTTAATATATTAATTATATAAATATTATTTTTTAAAAAAATTAATATAAATTTTATATTTAATAAAATAAATATTTTAATAAAATATTTATATAATATTAATAAATTATAGTTAATTGAATGACTGAATTGAATAATTGAATTGATAATTTTTCTTTCTTGGTTGAAAATTAGATTTAATATTAAATTTTTAGATGCTAAATTATTAATAATTCGAAATGAATATGAAATAGTAAATATTGTACTTAATATCAAAATAAAAAATCTAAAAGTATTTATTTTTTTAAATATATATCTCTCGATTATTAAATCCTTAGAATAAAATCCAACTAAAAATGGAAATCCACATAATATTATTAAAGATAAAATAATAATTATACATAACTTTTAACAGGATAAATATAAAATAAACCTTTATACAATCGAAAATATAATGAATAAATCTCCCAGTACATATAAATCAGTCGTAATTTCGAAATGATAATGTAAAAATATCCAAATTGAAAAAACGATAAAAAGAAAAGAATGATATCTTATTGATAACGTACTCTGAAAGACTTTTCAGTACATATAATCGATAAAAAGGAAAAAAACCCAGAAGGATGTGCGGCGTTGTTAAATAAGAATCTGAAGTAAATATTTTTCGTACGTTGTTTGTTCAATTCTTTAGTCGACGAAAATTTATCTGACAATGTCAACTCCAGTTTTTTTTTAAAACAACAAATTCCTCCTACAAAATAAAATAAATACTTGAAACTTCGAGACGTAGTTTCGAAACCTAGTAAATATTATTGCTACTAGTGACAAATAAGAGAAACAAATAAAAATCTCCAGATTTTTTACCATAGTAAAAGATGTCATGATAGGAAAATGTAGATCGTGTTTTGTTATTACATATCTCGATTCGGCCATTCCGATGAATATCGAAATCAATTCAATCCAAAGTATTTGACGCGTTTCTTCTACATCTCGAACGAGTTTGGCTATCAGTAAACAAATTTAGAAACAGATCCTGCATCGAACCTTGTTGTCACTAAGTACATAAATAAAATGTAGTAACCAAATGTGGACGCAGTGTGGACCCTAAGAATTTTATGTACTGTTGGGAGTTGCCAGATTGTAGACGAATTCCCGCACGCGGAGGCAAATTGCATTTGCCTAATTTGATAGCGGTCAAAGGATAATGCGACGTTTATAATTCAAAAAAAAGCAGGTTCGTTCCAAGAGAGGAAACATTTGTCACGAACGTCAAAAGCGTAAATACAGAAGGAAAAAAGCATTCCCATTGCATCGAATTCAAAAAAAGTAAAAAAATGTGAAATCTGTGTATTGTTTACAGAGAACTATAGTTATTACACTACATGTAAGACTTGTTAAAAATATGTATGTTTATACAGCAAATACGTTAAAAAGTATATGTACATTTAAATAACAAATGTGTTGAAATATATTTTCAAGCCTTACGTTCCTTTGGCTCTGTTAGTGTTAGTCATTTGACGACAAGAAAATCAAACTTTTGTACGTGCATTTTTCACCTGAGAACTGCTTTTCGGGCACAGCCAAGTTAATCGTTAATCAGGAAGTGAAAAAGGGAGAAAAGCGGGAGATAGGACGCGCGAGAGTTGAAAATCGGTTGGACGTTTTCGGA